AAATCCACCAAGAAGGTGCCTGTGGGTGTCTGGGGAGGGCTGGGAATTTAGACCAACTTTCCCTTATTTACTCTTTTGGAAGTTTTGGGTTTTGTACCAAGCACACACAGTCCCAATTAAATAAAGGACACATTTTCACTTTCCAATTTCACATTTCCACGGGGAAATTCAGACGTATCTCATTTTCACTGGGAAGCCAAACTAATAATAAGGAAAAGTGCTCAGTGTTGGTGTTTTAAGAAACACAGGTACAGAGCCAGCAGGTGGCGTAGTAGGCAAGGGGCTCGACTCCCATGTGGCCAGCAGCAGTTCGAGCCCCAGAGCCGACAGCTAGAAAATCATGCCAAGTGCATGTGTGTGCATGCCCGAAATTCCAGAGAAGGGGTTTGTGATGTGGCCATGTCCCCAGGGGGTAATTTTTCATTTTCTCTCTCTCTTCTCTCTGAGACATGTAGCCTATGACAAAAACCTGAAAAAAAAAAAAAAAAGCCCACAGGTTCGTCTGTTCACGCATTGGTTCTTCCCTGAACACCTTGTCAGTTCCTGCAGGGTCTCTGTGCCAGGTACATGGCTGCTAGGAACTGCAGGTTCAAGTTAGGTAAGACATGTACTTTCTTTAAAGGGTCTAAAAGTTTTGTTGGCAGAATGAGAAACGCATCAGCAAACCGTGCAGAAATCTGTGACAGCCTGGGTTCCCAGCACCGGCCCTGCACCTTCATGACAGTGTCTGGTCATGTATTCCACCTCCGGGAGTGTCTGTCAGGCACGAGGAACTGGGCGAGGTAGCAGAGGCACAGATCCTGCTAGGGGGTCATGGTCAAGTGGGATTTTACACACACACACACACACACACACACAGGTTAAGTCTGCCAAGTTTTCCTCAAATGGAAGGATGATTCACTCGATCCAGTAAGGTCAAAGAAGCCCAGCTCCGTTTCCCTGCACACTGAGCCACCACACTCACTTTATTCCCTCGCACATCCAGCTGCTGCTCGTATACCACTTACTGGTAAGACATGGTATCTGCACTAAAGATATTTCCAGATGGTGGGGGAGAAGAGCATGAGAAGGCAACCACAGGACACTGTGCTGCAGAACTGGCAGGATGCTGGAGGTCTTCGAGCAGGGGCTCTGCACCCAGACTAGGCTGGAGACGCTGGGCCAGGAAAGACCCTGAGTAAAGCGATGCTTCAAGTTTCACTTCCAGGTCTGGCTACGGGAACAACTATCTGGGCCAGGAGCTGGGTGAATAGGGTAGGGGATGAGACTGTAGGCAGAGGACGCCTCAATGTGAAAGCGCTCTGAAGGGCTTTCAATACCACAGACGGGGCAGGGTGCAGAGTGGTGCTGTGCTGGAGGTGGCTGGAAAGCCAGGTGGCAAGACCATACAGAGGCTGAACCAGAGAAAGCTTCTGGGAGCTGGCGAAGGACTCGTCCTAGTGATACCTGAAAACAACGTCAGTGCCAGGTACTGATCACTGAGAAAATAACTGAGACTCTTAAAATAGGAATCCCAGTCAGAATCAACTGTAGTTAGATAGGATCTTCCATTAGGTAAGGGAGAGTAAAATTCAGATTGAAACATGATCTGCAGCCTTTCCCAAGGATGGTAAAGAATCCAGGATAAAATAGGTGTCTATTTTAAATATAATGAGGCTTTTTCCTCTTTTACCCCTATAAAACACTGAATACCAATATAAACAAGTAGTAAACTTTATTACTTATATTTACCGCATATGTTCTATAAAATGGCTTACATTTTGGTTAAATTTTGGACTCTATGTTTTTATTTTTTTCCAAAGTATCAGTTTTAAATTCTGGGACTGGTCTCTCTAATTAGTAAAACCTGAGTCTAATTTTGAGCTGGACTGACTGAGCTGTAACACTGTCAGCATGACTGTGTGCACTGGGGTGTGCTTGTGTTCGTCCCTCACACTGCCTGTTAGGGACCACGTGGGTCACACTGACAGTCATTCCTTTGCAGCCACTGCCTGACAAAACCCTTACTCTGCCGAATACTGTGTGAGGAGACAGAGCCAAGACAATGGGAAAGGCAGGCCCCTGTTTTCAAAGGCACTCACTGGCTGGCTAAAGGATCACCAACTGGCGTGAACAAAGCTGTGAGCAAACTTCTTTTTGGAGCGCAGACGGAACAAGGCACTATCCCTCCCCCCCGGAAAGCAGTGGGGCAAGCTCAAAGGCAGGGAGGGAATGCATCTAAAAACGCTGCGCTGCACTCAAGCTTCGCAGCAAGACCTACAGCCTCCTCCCTACGTGTCCCTGGCCGATCCAGCCAGCACCACCCTGCATTTCCTAGATGACCGCGTTTTCTTTTAATTCCCAATATTAACATAAAGCAACAAATAAGAGGAAATACCTATATTTGTGCCAGACATGCTTCTAATTTTTACCACAACACTAGGGTAGCTATCACCATGATGCCTTTTCACGGTGGGGAAGTCGCCCTTCGGACTGGTTTAGAGGTTACATGAGGTTACAAAGCTGGTAGAGAGCAGAGCTGGCTATGAAAGCCCCGGGAGGACCCTGCCCCTGTGTTTATCTTTACTGGCCCCACTATCTCCACTGGCACCTCCCCTCCCTCCACCTCCCATCCTCGGGACATGCACGCCTCTTCCGTGCACCTGTAGGCACCACAGTCACGTCTGCCAGAGCCCTGATGACGTTCTGCCCACTTCCCCAGTAGACTGCAGCCCTTTAAGGACAGGAACGGTGTTCTGGCTACAGCACAGCAGATGCTCAGTGACTAGGAGAATACTGATACTGATTCAACTGGAGATACTGAGTGCGAGAAGATTCAGATCCTCAGCCAAATTAAGAATCTCTGTGTGAAGGCATCTCTCTGGGGCAGGGATGGGGCAGATGCAGAGAAGGGGATGTTACCAATCATAACGCCCTGTCCACGCTCAGTGTTGTATGAGTAGCTCCCAGCGATGCGAGATAACAAAAATGAAAGGTTTCTTCTCTGAAAACCAGGGCAGCACAGAGATGAGAACAGATGGCTTCAATCTTGGCTACACCAGTAATTAGTAAACTAACCTAAGTGAGTTCACCTCTGGAAACTTAAATTTCTTCCTTTGGCAAATGTAACTGATACCTTCTTACAATTTTGAGAAATTAAGTGACAGATCTCAAATATTAAGGCTTAACAAGTAAGCCCCTCGCAAAGTTCAGAGTCTAAGCAATGCTTTATTTTACTTTTCAAATGAGACAAAGTGAGGGAGAGAGAAAGGTCTATTTTCGACAGCATCAGCATGCCACCCTAGCCTGCCACTCAGAACGGACCAGAAGTACACACCGGCCTCTCTGGTTGGTCCAGAAACCTCACCCAGGCCTCTCAGGCGGTCCCAGTCACTGTGTAGCTGGGCCCTCCTATTTATGCCACTGCCCTTTAAAAAGCAAGACCATCTGACCAGCGAAGTCAAATTAATCATACCTTTCCTTCACAGATCCTGAAACTGTTTTCTAATTTTAAGAAAACACATTTTATAATATTGCCTTATAATAATTTGTTTTGTAAAATTATTTTGCAAAACAAGAATGAAAATATCATACCTCTATAAGACTAAGATTATTGTTAAAAATTTCCAGCCTACCTCTGTAATTTTCTTTTTACTTATGCATATATATGTAGAAAAATAAAATTGGGGTCATATTATACGTTACATATGGCAAAAATACTTTTTTTATTTAACACTTTGGAAAATTTCTTCGTGCTACTTTTGATTACTGTGTTTTTACTGAGGATTTAAATTCAGATTGTGCTGACCCGAGTCTCTGATCTCTGCTGCTTAGAACAAAACAAGTCTGACTCGCTTATGTTCTGGAAGCTTCTTTTCTGATCTGAGGAGTTAATTTGCCATAATCATTAGTGCTGGCAACAGCAACCCAGCGTGGGAAATTTTCCCTGCGGCTTGAGATAAGCATGAAATTGTCTTCATCTTCTAAAACAAGTCAGAATCTTCGGAACAAAAACGTGCTTACCTTTGTTTGCTCTCCGGGCACAACCAGTTCCTTTGATATTCCAAGATGGCTGACATTTCCTGACAAAAGAAAAGACCTTTTTACTCAAAATCAAGAGAAGGAAATCTCCCAAGAAATAAAAATTAAACATTTTACATAATCTACAAATTTAAAAAAAAAAAAAAACTTATGCCAAATGATTAAAGGATAACTTTATTAAATATTTGTCAGTTTTAAGAAGTGCCCTCAATTACTAACCAAATAATGTATTACAAATAACTAGTTATGAGGTTTTACATTTGTTTAATAGGGAATAATTGGCCCCAATTAAACTGGCTAAACTAAGGCTTTTTAGATTACTAAAACAAATTAAATGTTTTAAAATGAGAATTTAGTTGATCTTAAAACCTTTCTAAAATTGATAATGAAACTTGCTAAATTGTAATCGCCCTGGTTTTATTAGTTATATTAAGATAAATTAAGTGAGATTAAAATCTTATTTGATTTATTTACCTTGGAAAATGAAGACCGTTTAAGGGTTACACATCCTCAGCCTTGGCGAGTGCGACCTCAATTAGTCAAGTCAGAGTGTCTTTAAAAGCTTTGTGCTTATTGCTTCCAGCATGGGGCGAGGTGTTCATTAAGGTACCAAAATTCTCATAAAAAATCCAAAGTTGCACTAGTGAAAAAACGCTCAACAAGGTGAAAACTGATCACATCTCTTTCAGAAAATCCAGTAGTTATTTTAAAACCAGTTTTTAAACAAGATTTGGTTTTGCGTAGGTTTAACGTGCCACTCAAGCAGCTTGATACCATTTGGACTTTCAAACAGCATTTAAATCTACGGTGTAATATCATGGCACATTTAATTTTATACCATTTTTTAAAATAAGCTGTACAATGTTTAGTGTGACCCTTTTATGACAAGCATTGTTAAATGAATCCTTTCCCTGTTTACAACTATTTATGAAGGCCTTTTTAAATAAGAAACATGAAATTGGTAGCTCACACACACGAAATTTCTTTCAAAAGTTTATTTAGTATCAAGCAAGAGGAGACTTTGCTTAACACTACAGAACATTTCAAGACTTGAGTTACAAAAGAATACCACATTATTTGCACTTGTAGTTGGCTTCCCTTTTTACGCATGTTGGCAAGAGGAAAGAAACAAAACTAGCATATGGCTGAAAGATAAAATAACTAAATTCTATGGAAACCTTTAAAATGAAAGGTGAGGCTTATGTTAAAAGAATGGATTAACATATTTAGTAAACCTATTTTTTTAAATTTAACACTAGTTAATCAAAGTTATTTTTTTTTCCTTTTGATGACCTATTTGTTCATATACAGACTAGAAATAACAAAATTTTACAGGTCTTTTTTTTTTTTTTTTCTGACCAGGTTGATGTTTCAACAAAGTGGTTTTAAGTTCCATCCATTCAGATTTTAAGCAATTTGATTTATTTAAAAAGGGATTGTTCATAGAAAAAAATTACTTTGAACAGTACACAGGACTGGTGGAGAGGGGCTACTCCACAACCTCAGAGCACAATCAGTATCTGCCGTACGGCTGGGCTCTGTTGAACGCCTTCCCCGGCCGCGCGGAAGGAGC